ACCTCTTACATGTCAGCCCCAATCTGCTGTCATCTTCCTCCACCGCCGGGCCCGTCTCCTCCTCCTCCACGGTTGCCGCTGGGCCCCGCCTCCTCCTCCGCCGCTGGGCCCCGCCTCATCCTCCACTGCCGACGCCGGCCTCCTCCACTGCAACTGCTGGCTGTCACTGACTCAGCAGCTGCTGTGATGAAGAACGCGCCACTGCACAGATCACAGGTTGTCAGTTCTCACAGCTGCCAGTGTCAGCAAGCAGTCTGTGATGCCATAGTGACCCAGGCGGCCCGCACAGCATCAAGGGGGTTCCTTTGTTCCTCATCCTGGCCGGGCCCCCCTGTGCCCCGGGACCCATTGCGGCCGCCTGTGTCGCTATGGCGATCGTTTCACCACTGGCCTGGTATAACTTGGTGGGTCCCTCCTAACATTCCTACCAGACCTAAAGGTTCTGATGTCAATTGGGTGGAACCTCACGCTTTTTTTTCCTTCTCTTCTGCGGATTGTAAAAAAAAAATAAAAAATGTTTTCCTTTTGTCTAATGTTAATTTGCTGCAATAAAAATTTGCACATACTACCGCTAAAAAATTTCAAACAAAATTTTCGTTTTCGAAAATTCGGATTTTCATTCGTCATTCCTGTCATTCAGAGATTCAGATATATCCGAATCTCCAAATAACGAAAATGCGTCCGAATAACTAATCTTCCTGAAACGAATTGTATATGTCTACTGAACCTTAGTCATAGCTACTATGCACATCCACACATAAAGTCCTATATTCTCCCAACCTCCAAAATGGTAGGTGTAGGAGGAATTGCTAGGGATGCACTGAAATTTCGGCTGCCAAAACATATTGCCCAAAAATGGCACTTTTGGTAAAATGCCGAATCCCCTCTGACACAGCGCAGCATCCAGCAGGGAGGAGAGAAACTGTCAGTGGAGGCCAAGCGGTGCGCCCCTCTTAGCCTCATCTGACCGATCAGTATGGAGAGCAGTGTAGGGGCGGAGACAGGAGCCTGAGTCAGCAGTGAGTGGGAGGTGTGAGCTGTCAAAATAGGCCGTGCTCTCTTTCCTGCACCACTGGCTCACCCTACTGTGACAGCGAGTCACAATTAAATGCGGTATACAAACACTCAGTGATCGCTGACTGTTTAAAAATAACTGGACATAGTATGAGTTACTATGTACCAGTTATCTACATCACCTCCTGTTCATTCACAATTATTTACATAGTAAACATACTATCTCCACAAGTTATGAATTAACATGAACACTCTGTATAGAGCAGTGCCGTGGGGCTTCTGTGGATCCCCGCTGCTCTCCCTCATCTGTATGCAGTGGGGATCCGAGAAGCGAAAGAAGCTCTGCAGGCAGCGGTGGAAGGCGGAGCTGCTATCAAAGCAGCACGGTGAGGAGAGAGAAAGCCGCTCGGCTTGGATCTGACAGCCGGTGTTTCTCTCCTCACTGCACATGCTGCGGCTCCGTCCAAATGCCCCCCCCGCGGCTGAAGTGCTTTCCTAACTTCTCCTCCGATCCCCCGCTGCCTCAGCTTCTCCTCTGGGAGAGCAGCAGAGATCCAGAGGAGAAGCTGAGCCCCCCCTGTGTGCGTGGCCGAGCGCAGAGGATTGGTACATATCAGTGATATGTATCAATCCTCTGTGCAGGACAAACACTGCCTGGAGCGATCAGCTGATCACTCCAGTGTTTGTAAATAACTGGGCACACATAGTACTATGGGGTCTATTCATGAAGCTGCCGAGGGCAGCCGAGTGAATGACCGATCTGAAGTGAAGTGAGCCGAACACTGTTCGGCTATTCACTTCAGGCTGGTACGGCTAATTTCAGCCGTACATCGGCTGAAATCAGCCGTACATCGGCTTGCTTCGTGTGGCTTCGGGTCGGCCGAACATGCTCAGCATGTTCGGCCGACC